AGCAGCCATGACTAATAATCAGTAGCACGTGAGGGATTTAACATGTGATTGTGTTCTTATGTGCATTTTGCAGATGGGAGAAGGACGGCCAGGTGAGCAGGGAGCTCTGGGAAAAGGCCGGACAGCAAGGTTTGCTGGGTGTTGCTATTGCTGAAAAGCATGGAGGCATCGGAGCAGATATTCTCTCTTCAGCTGTGGTCTGGGAGGAGCAGTAAGTACGAGATGCTGCAGGAAGAATTTAAGTGGTATTATCAAGACACTATGTTTTTCCCATAAGATGCTTGCTTCCAGAAAATGGTGTTATCTTTATCACTGAAGTGGTAGTATAGACATATGTAAATCCCTTCTGTTCTAAGTATTCTGGATGTTTAAGTAACAAATGTCCTTGTGCTCCACTGATAGTACTTTGTGGCTGGGGGAAGCATTTTAGTTAGTCTGGAAGGTTAATACACTCATTTGGCTGTGAAAGTCCCTTCTATAAATAACAGTACAACTGCCACAAGCTCAAATTATACCTGCGACTTATGTGTGGTGAGGGTTTTTTCATTGTTGGTTCTATTGTAACTGTGTAAAATTCAATGTTTAAACCTTTTTAGCACTTCTGTTTTGAATTTTTTTTTCCCCTTCTCCACAAGGATGTATGTTAACTGTACTGGCCCAGGATTCAGCCTTCATTCCAATATAGTGATGCCCTACATCGCAAACTATGGCTCTGAAGAACAAATTAAGCGCTTTATCCCTGAAATGATTGCAGGCAAGTGTATTGGAGCTATTGCCATGACAGAACCTGGGGCTGGCAGGTAAGTTAAGTATTAAAACAGTGGTTTTAAATCAGTAGACACTGCAAAATGTTCTCAGTAGAAAAATTCCTGACCCTGCTGGTTTTAAGGGTATCTCAGTGACTAGACAGTAGCCTGTATTAGGTAGTACTGCAAAACAAATAGTAGTTATAGATTACTTTATTGTAGCCTTGTCATTTAAAGATACTTGAAACTTCTCCCACTGTGAGCAACTTTGTTTGTATTTGCATTTATAGTCCAAATATATAGTCACTAAGTTGCTTGTCATGTGAATATACTTTTAATATGAAATGTTGTTGGAAGAGAACTACGTGCCTCAGTAAAGAGGGCTTGACGTGGCTACCAGTTCTTGTTGTAGAACAGAATGCCTTGTTTTCTTTCCTCTGAGTCCTTTCAAGCAGAGGAATCTCTCTCCTTGCCCATCATTACTGAAGGGCAGACAGCACGTGTTTGGAGCAGACACAGCTGACCTGGCGGGTTTACAAAACGGGGACAGGTGAAGAGCAGAACCTGTTGGTGGCAGGCTTCTACAAAGGGTAGATGTTGCCAGTGGCTTTTTACAGAGCCTCCTTACCAGGGTTGAGCCTGCTTAGAGGGTGAGGTTTTGTCCAGCGTTTGTCATCTGAGGTGTGCTGACATAAGGATGTGTTGACCTGTTGGTGTCAGTGCTTGTATTACACCACCTTCCATGAGAATATACGTTAAAATGGGACCTCGTTCTTTTGTATGATTGCATAGATTTATCATCCTTTTCCACGACATGCTTGTGGTTTCTGTGTTATGCTCTAAGCTGTTTCACCGTGTGTCGCTATCCTCTGTATGTGTTTTCACTGAGCCTGTACCTGGACATTATAAAATGTACATTATTTTATGCTGGGTAGAATTAAAAATACAAATTGCAGCTTCTGGAATAGTTTCTTGAAAGACCTTTTGCATTTCACTTTAGTGACTTGCAGGGAATACGAACGTACGCAAAAAAGGATGGAAGTGACTGGATTCTTAATGGGAGTAAGGTAAGTGAACAGACATAGACACTGCTCATAGGCTTTGGGAACTGAGTGGGTTTAGATAGTGAAGCATGTACGGCGCTTAGTATCTCCCCCCAGTCCTTTCACTTTTTTTTTTATGTGGGTTATGTTGGATTTGTTTTTTGATGTGTTTGGGTTTTTTTCCCCCATAGGACTTAAGACATTGCTTTTTTAATAACCCTATGATAAGGTCTGCTTCCCCTTACCCTGGTGAGAAAATGAGGAGTGGGAAAAGTCCTGCATAGTGTAAGCAGGACCAGAGCTGATTTTTAAGACTGAGATTGAACAACAAAATATATATAACTACCACTGTAAAATCTTCTGTGGCCTGAGTAAACACCTCTGTTGCCCCAGTGCAACGTAAGTCCCAAGCTGTGAAATCTTTGTTTGGGAGTCTGCTGGTTGTTTTGGAAGAAAACGCCCAACAGTGTAAGATGCTCTGTGTATGTTGTCAAGCTGTTGCAAAGTGATGATATTAACTTCTTTCACTGCTATAATAAAAAAGCAGGAAGGCTGAAACTGTGTTCAAATGAAAGTGTGGTTTCAGGAGTTTCTTTTAAAGCTACCGAATGTCTTAATCTTCTTTCTCCCCCTCATCTTTTGTACTCCTGCTGGTACTGATAGAGACTTCTGACCTTAGCAGAATTTGAAGGGATGAGCATGTGTGCAGACAAATGTGTATGTACAGGTGCTCGGAAGGATACTTGCTCATGCTGTGCAGTTGAAGCCAGTCAGGCCAGATAGCTCACTTTTTGTTTTTGCTGGAGTTAAGATGGATCACTTTGGCAAGTTCATGAGTTGTCCTACGGGATTATGATAAGCAATTGTGACAAAAAACCATTGACAATTTTGCATGCTATACCTTGCTAATGTAATTTCTAGAAAAGAGAACCTCTGTGTTCATTTAATATTTACATTTGATGCCGTATTCCTTCTTTATCATGGGACAGACAATAGGAACAGATCTGTGCATTCTTTAACTTCACACCTCGGACTCGCACAACACTTCTCAAATTAATTCATACTTTAATAGAAGGTTTTTTTCCAGAACATTTAATTCAGAAAGCTTAAAGCTTAAAATTCTTCTGACCACTTACACCTTGCCTCCCAGGTCGTCTGTGAGTGTCAATGCAATTTTTGTTTGTGTTGCTTGATGGTGTCCTCCAGCTTGTATCCATCTAGCTTGTTGCTTTATTTCAAGCTGCTTTTTTCTACAGGTGTTCATCACGAATGGTTGGATGAGTGATGTAGTGATCGTGGTTGCGGTTACAAACCGGGAGGCCCGATCTCCTGCTCATGGGATCAGCCTTTTTCTGGTGGAAAATGGAACAAAAGGTTTCATCAAAGGACGCAAACTGAACAAAATTGGCCTGAAAGCTCAAGTGAGTTCAGACAACCCCTAACATGTAATGACTTGGAGGAGGTCTAAAACCACTGAATGCCTGGCATTAGCTAAATAAATATAAAACAAAACTGTGGTGCTATTGTAATTCTTAAGCTTTATAAATATGCACAAACTGTATACATACAAAGTATATATGCTGAGTTTGCCCATGGAAATTTGAAGCATGTGGTATGCAAGAAGAAGCTGAGAAAGCTGGGTTCCTTGACTCTAAAGAAGCCTCAAAAGATTGGGTCTTACTGGTGTCTTTAGGTGACTAACAGTTGGCTGTAGAGATGGTGAGCCAGATTCTTCTCTGGGGAGCACAGTGAAAGGGAGAGTGGCAAGGAACACAAATCACAATGAGGAAAATTTTCAGTCGGTATTAAGAACAAAAAAAAGTTCACCATAAAAATGATCAGATATGGGAAAGTGGGCCCAGAGATCTTGCAGAGCTTTCATCTTTAGAGCTTTGGGAAGGATAACTGGACAAGGGCCTCAGCTGCTTGATTTGTTGGAGCTGCTGTAATTAAATGACCTCTGGAGGACACTTGCAACCTAAATGATTCTGTGATTTCAAGTTTAAGTATGCAATAGCAAGAAAAAAATGAGGCAAAAGAAGTGGCATGAAGAGATGAGAATGTCAGGCTATAAACTGTTGGATTTACAATCCTCTTAGGACACAGCGGAGCTGTTTTTCGAAGATGTGCGGTTGCCAGCCAGTGCCTTGCTTGGAAAAGAGAACAAAGGCTTCTATTATCTCATGGCAGAGCTCCCTCAGGTAAGACATGCATTTTGCTGTCTGTAGAAAGAATACGGAAAAAAATGTCATTGCAAGAACCTTCCTTAGTGCTGAAGATTATTTGTGGTGGGGAGCAACCTTTGGCTCAGAATTGGGATGCCTGTAGGCAGGGTTGTGTTGATGCTGCTGCTTTTTAACTGAAGTGCACAGCGCTAAAGGTGCAGTTCTTTGGGCATTGGTAAAAATGTTGATATCCCACCAGCTCAGAAGCAGATCTCTTTAATCAACAGCCCAGCTATTAAAGAACGTGAGGGTAGTGTATTTAAAAGAACATAACACAATTTTCTTATATACTTGTGGCATGGAACCACTTTGCGTAGTAAATTAGATGTAGCTTGGAGATCTCTGAGGCATTTGGCATTCTCTTTAAAGAAACAAGCAGGCATTGCTGTTCTAGCTCTCTACCAGTAGAAACATATTAAAATATAAGGAACTTTTTCTTTGTCCGTATAACAAAGTAAAGGAATTGTTTAATTGGAAGGACAATGTGGTTTCTAGAAATGTGACTGTGCTTTGTCAAAACTATGACTTTGTATTTGCCTCATCTGGTAGGAATCGTGTTTATTTGAAGTTACAGTGTGAATAAATACAAAAGCTGATGAAAGGAAAGCTTTTACTGCTTTAAAGAAATAAATGCGCATGTGAACAGGTCCAGCATGATGTGTCAGGTGGTTTCAATGCTGCTAGAAGTAATTTCTCTGTACTTAGTTTCTGTTTTTCAACATTATCAGGAAGTCTAAAACACCAAGTTGTGGCTTTTTGTAGGTCTTGTTTTTTTCTAGAGATGTCCTACTGAAATTGTTAAATACAGTTACTGTTTAAACTGAGCACTGAAAACCAATAACTGAAACAGAACTCAGTGTGAATTTTTAAGACAGTAAGAGTCCTGTGGTTGATTTGTAGCTATTTTTTGAGTTGTGATAGAACAGTACCCTGGAAAAGACTTAAAAGTGAGCTGCAGGCAGCAAGGCATTTGTCTCGCTCATTAATTTCAGTAATGCCGTGTGGCTGGTTTGATACTTAATGTGATTTCTGCCCCTTCTTCCTTAATGAACAACACTGAACATCTGTGTCCCAGTTGTGCATCTGATACAGAGAGATGTAGGACTAATTCAACTGGATTCCGTAATTTGTGTTTCAAAAGGAAAGACTGCTAATTGCTGATATGGCTCTTGCTGGTTGTGAATTCATGTTTGAAGAAACACGGAATTACGTGAAGCAAAGAAAAGCTTTTGGGAAGACGATTGCACACTTACAGGTGAGCTTGGACTGAAAGACCTGTGCACAGACTGCAGTGTGCAGTTACTTTACATCTCTGTGTGTGACATAGTGAGCAAATGAAAGTCCCTGGGCTCTTTTCAAAGGACTGTTTGCTCAGGTTTCACGCTTTACTCCATGCCTGTCGTTCATTTTTGCAGAACAAAAAAAAAAACCATAACACAACAACAACAAAACCCAGAAAGCCTTAGAGCATGTGTTTTACAATTCAGCTAGATACCTCTCAGCACTGCGGCTTTTGGAAGTGAAATACTCTGGCTTTTTGCTGCCGATGAGGAAAAATGACCTTCTTGCTCTTGTGTTTTACTGTCAGAGGTCCTAACCGCAGGGGCAGTTACGCCTGCCTGGTTTTCTCTATCTGCCTGGAATCCTACCGACTGGGTGCCCAGGTGCTGTGTTCCCCCACATGTAACGCGTTGCAGAAAAATGAATTTGGAAGCTGGTGGGGGCTCCCAGGCAGTGACTTTGCTGCCTCAGTGCCTGCTGAGGTGTCTGTAGTCGGCTTTATGGTTGTTGTAATGAGATTCCTCAGCCAGCTGGGTATTGAAGGGACTGCATATAAAACTGTTGGGTCATTCTCTGAGCGTACTTCACTCCTGACAGTGGTAGTTAATTGTGTCTTGAGATGTTTATGCCTACGCTCTTCAGTTGCAGTCACAAAACAGATGTTACTTTCCCCAGTATTGCAATGTTAGAATTTTCCTGAAAACTACTTTAGCTGTTGGGGCTGAAACAGACCAAGCTCCTACATGTTTGATTTATAGGATAGAAGTGACTCATATGGGTTAGACGATGTAGGCAGACATTTTGGGGGTTTTAATATACTTTTGAAATAATGTTAAAAAATCAATTTCTAAATCTTGAGACTTCCTTTGTCAAAACCAAATCTTTAGTTGTGAATAGCAGTAGAATTGGGCCCTTTAGAGGGTGAAATGATAGGTATCTTTCAGGAAATTATGATCTTTATCTGTTTCTAAAGCTAACATTCAGTAGTTCCAGATGGAATTTAGTATGTGCAGTGTGCAGCTTTAACACAGAAGAAATATATTTTTACCTTTTATTTAATGTAGATAAGGGATGCTTCCTAATTGTAGTAGTTCTTTTCTTTCTTTTTTTTTTTTAGGGTAGCCCACTGCCAACCAGCAGGTGGCCAATAAGTATCATAAAGTGTATTATGTTTTCCAAAATAATCCACTCTTGCATATCTTTTCAGTTTTCTTTTTGTTGCTGATAGCTAGAATGTGGATGTAGTTAAAAAACTTACTGCTAGTTGGAGCTCTGCCTTTCCTAATTCATTTATTCATGCACAGTGTTTGAAATGAAATCTTTTCTTTGTAATAGTAGACTGGTCCATTATGTTTATTGTCAAAGGAAAAAAGATTATTTTCAATACACTATTTTAGAACTGAGATTAGAAAAAAGTTTGGTTATTGGGTGGTGGTTTTACCCCCTTCCTACCAGAAT